AGGATTAAAATATGAGGGAATAGTACATATTGATTGAGAAACTAATTTAATAGAGATTTCAAGATGTGACATGACTTTTTTGGTGGTAGTTTAATAGCAGCATGTTAATACATTTGCCAATCAATATGTAAAAAAAGTTTTGGGTTTTTTTCTCATTTTTTTTAAGCGGTTCTTTTAAATTCAGAGTTTAATTTAGGTTTGTTGACACTTATTTTAAACTTATTCCTTAGGAATACCCTGCCCACATCATGTTGCTGCCACCATCATAACCGCTATTACTGTTCTGGATGTGGCAGAACGTATGACCATAATCTGTTCAGACTCAGTTACAAAAAAGTAGACTTAAAGCGACAAATCAGGTGATATGGCAACTTTTTCAGACAAATGATTAGACATATGGGGCTAAATGCAAATGCTTGCCTTAGATGGTATTTATAATAAGATATACATTCCCCGTCACCTTACAAATGTAATACCTTATAAATGTGCTCTTTTTATGTGTTTGAAATGAACATAGCTTTATTTTGTTTTAAAAAAAGAGAAGCAAATCATATTTTGTAAATGGAATCTTAAATAACGAGGACCAGTTTTTTTTCTGCGGTGTTTATCCTTCATCTCCTCCTGCTTTTTTCTTAAATAGCTAAAAACATATAGTAAACAATATTTCCAAGCTGGAATCAATTCCAGCTCTAGCTTTTAGACAGCTGTGCTGCCATATGTAACACAAACCAAATGGGAAAGAATGTCATCAGGATAAATAATGACTTTATCTCTTGAAAACATATCTGTATATGTGGCTCATTCTCAAAATATCTAATTGCATGAATAAGCATTCCTCTGGGCTTTCGAAAGCTGTGCCACTGTGTACTAAAAAGGCAAACTTACCTTTTCCTTGGATTAAGACTCTTATTTGTGCAAGAATATTTACTTAGGGGAAGGTGCTATAAATGAACACAGAGGAAGTGAAGCACAAAGAGGAGTTCAGACTGGTTAAGAGGAAACTGAAGGCTGCGTGTGAGAAGGGGATTTTTATTATGTTTTCTATGCCTCAACTATTAGGATATAATTAATTGGTACAAGCCCACAGATGTCCTTCTGATGAAATTGACATCTTAGAAACTGCAGACAAAGCATATTTTTTTATTTACCTTTTAGACAGCTTTGATGTACTACAGCTTAGTTAGCTTTTTCTTAGTGATTCAATAAATATGGCTTTGGCTCATTTTGATCATTTTCTACAGTGGGCTGTTTTTAAGAGTTTTTTTCTGTACAGGAGGCCTTTAAAAAAATAAAATGTGTGGGGAGGGGGACTCCCATTGAGGGACAGGCCTTAAGATGGAGGTCTTCCTCACAGGACGTGACAGGCTGTTGGCTTGATGATGCTCAGGAAGGCCTTGGCAGGCCAACAAAGCCAGCCTTTCAGCTGCAGGGTGTAGTTTTTCAGGCCCCAGCATCCCCTTTGGCAACAGCACAGAGAGCGCTGGCGTGCACAGGCCCCCAGCCCGAGAGACTGGGAAGTAAGGCCCGTTCTTTTATTTACTCAGGCTGCTGCAGAGGCCTGGGCATTTCTTGTCTGGGTGAAGAAGGAAAAGAAAACAAGTCTCTCTCTTTCTTTCCTCTTGTTGTCTCCAGAGGAAGATTGTTCTTTCATCTGCAGTTGTTCACACACTTGTTTTCGGCCACTGCTTTTCTGTCTGTGGATGCCTGTGCATGACATGAACACACATAAGTTTTCTTGGACAACTGTGTGCATTGGTAGAATATAGCTGTTGTTTTACTGACTGCCTGTGTATATAGGTGAAGGACAAAATAACGCATTGCTTTAAAATTTACCTATAAGTCTATTTTTTTATGATCCGATCTTGGATATACATTGTGCTTAAAATTTTATATCATTCAATTAATAATTGCACATATTCAATAAATTCCCTTCCATTTTATTTAATTGATATTTTAGTCACAAAAGTAAACATTTGCCATCCTGCACGGTGCCTTTTGTTGTCTTTTCATTGTCTTTCAGTTCTTATTCAAAGTTTGGCTTGTGATTCCTGCAAATGGCTTCTTGTCTTGCATGCACCGATTGCTTGATGTGTCGCCATCTTTTTTGGAATGATGTTTAGGTTAAAGGATTGTAAAGTATATGGTAAAACCATCAGCTTGCACCACTTGGGATCGTTAGTTATAAGTATGACATTTTTTTTAGTACAATTTAGCTTCCATAAATCAATTTTTTCTAATTTTGCTCAAATTGTGTTTTAATTTGAAAGATTTCTATTAGCCTTCAATTCTATCTATGACCTTGCAAAGAAAGGCCTACATCATGGGAAAGAACCCATTTCTTTATTTGGATTCCTCATACTCTTGCGTTTATGGTAGTTGGACACATTGAGGAATCAAGACGGCCAGGATATTTTTTGTCATTTTTCTAAAGTAAAAAATAAATAAAAAAATACCTCAAGGAACTGAGTTCAACTTACTGATGAAAATGAAAAAAATGACTACTCTGCAAACCAAGACTAAGGTTGTGAGGGATGGACAATTGGCGAACCACTTAGGGGGAAGCCCATTGTCCACTCACCACACCTAGACTTAATTAAATTTTTCCAATCATCTTCACATAAATTGCATAAATGTATAAAACAAAATTAAGATTACGTAAATAAAATATGTTGGGTAGTTAATGAAACTCTCATCAGAAATTGTTTGAGCTATTTGTTTGAGTTATTTTACAACTAACAAAGGAACGAAACGGTGTTAGCTATCACTCCTCAAAAATTAGTTTCAGTTGCATGAAATGTAACCCCAACTAAGATACAAACAGCTATTTCATCAAATCAGCATCACACTAAGACTTTCTTTTGCATTAATTGAGAGCACTGAGTCCTAAGCCAATGCAGAGTTAGCTTTTAGAAATGTCTGTGATTTACTGATAGAAAAATAATGAAGCTTTTGTAACTATGGACCCACAAAGCTCAAGTTTTTAAGAGTGATGATCTGTAGTAGGTGCAAATTAGGTACACTGTTAAATTCTAAGATTTATTTTTTCAACTCCGCTATAATCAGTTTAAGTATCCAAACATCATATTTTTTATTAATAAAACTCAAGAACTGCTTGCAGTTCCCTCAGGCTATAGGCAGACATTATTTTATTTATGTCTGTCATTAAATAAAGTCACTAAACAAATAATGTACATCATGTAAACAAACATCAGCATGGAAGAAAGTTATCCTGACAGCTTTGAAATGTCTCTAGGCAAATTCATCCTCATTTAAGGCAGTAGAATTTCATTTAGCCTTGTATACAGACCCATTTATTTGTTTGTTTTATACTATTGTCTCCAAGCCAATATGTTTGACTGTAAGGCATTGGCTGAGGTCATTTTTCTTGCACTGTCTTCTTCTTCTGTACCCTGAGAGGTGCTACGAGATAGGGCAGATCCACCCCCTCTGTGGAGGAGGGCATCGCACTGAGTCACTCATCCTCCCTCAAACCACAGAGAAAGAAAACATTGAGACATGGATGGGAGATAAAGCGAGTAAATAAGGCAAGGTTCGCTCCTTGAGTGAGATGTGTGTGTAGAGTGGGCGCCTTGCCAGGGGTGGGAGGTTTCCGGGAGGGCCACGGTGTGGAGGTGGGCTCTCAATGTGCAGCTTTCAGCACTATGGAGGGGCAAGGGAATGGCCTCCGACCCCATCTGTTTCCTGAAGATAGGCCCTGATGGGGGTAAGTGTTCAGAGAGGGCATGATATCCTGACAAAGGGCAGATCTCACAGAAAAAAAACAAAAAAAAAAAACAACAGACATGGAGATCGGAGAAAACGAGAGGGTGAGAGACTTAGATATCTCAGCTCAGAGTGGAAAGTGGTTGGATCCTGGAAAGAGCGTATGCTTTTCCTCCATCCTTCTCATAAATCTTAGCAGTTTCCTCTTATTTTTTTCCAGTCCAATTTATGGCCTTTTGACACAGATTTTTTTTTTTTTTTTTTTAAGGGTTGTGATTAAGTTGTTATTTGGGTAAGGAAGTTCACAGCACTTAGATTTCAGCAGCGGGAAGAAGTGGTCTGTAACCCTTTGAACCTTTAGAAAGTAACCTTCTGTGTTTTCCATTCATATCAGCATACAATGAGTCACTGAATTGGAATGTTGGCAGTGAGACAATTCATGTAGGGACACTTTCAACTAATTGTAAAAAAGAATACAGACCTTTTTTTATTATTTGCCTGGTCTCTGCACCTGTTTGGCCTTGAATAGGATATTTAGCGTCTCCATTTCCTCTTCCGTGTCCTCTCCAAATCTACCCCTGTCCTATAGCTCACAATTCTCTCATCCCTTAAGAGTTCTGCTTAACAGTTAAGCATACGCCATTAAAAAATATACTACATTGTGTTCTGATTAATTTTAAGGAATGTACAAAGTGTTTTAGTTTTTTCATAACTGTGCTTAAAGTTGCCAATTTTTTCTTTTTATTGTTTCTTAAAAACAGAATTCTGTTTTTTTGCTCTTAAGGCTCTTTGATGGGGTCTTTTTTTAAAGAAATATTCTAATGAGTGTTCAGGAATAATAGAAATGTTCTAATTTACCTCATGCTGGGCCTTCATCCTAAAGTACACCGATTGTCTTGTGTTGGCTTTAAATGTCAAAGAGATTGTGTTTTGAATCACAGTGGGCTAAGCCATTACATGGCCACATACAAGGTTAATTGTACTGAAAGTATTTCCACTTATTCTCTTCTCTAATTATATTTTTAAATTACATATTTAGATTTTACTTTTCAGATAACACCTAAGGAGAGGCATTGTTTCAGCTTAAGAGGCTGGAGAAAAAATCAAATGCACTATAAAGAAATTTAAATTAATTCACCAATGCCTCATAATAACTCAGACTACTAACAATGGTTCTCCACCATTTCTATCAAGATGACAGAACTGAATAGATATGACCCACAGACAACACCTTGCTTACTCACTCTTTTTTTCTTTTCTTTTTTTATCTTCTCCAGATGGTGCTGATCTTGAGGATGACCCATCTTGTTCTTGGCCTGCATCATCTCCTTCTAGTAAAGATCAGACTTCTCCAGGACATTGTGAGGACTATGAGTTTGGAGAGGAAGAAGGAGGCCCTGGTCTGCCTTATCCATGCCAGTTCTGTGAAAAGTCCTTCAGCCGCTTAAGCTTCCTCAAGCGCCACGAGCAGAGTCACGGTGATAAGCTCCCCTTCAGTTGCACATTTTGCAGCCGCCTGTTTAAACATAAGCGCAGCAGAGATAGACACGTGAAGCTTCATACAGGTGATAAGAAGTACCACTGTGGAGAGTGTGATTCCGCCTTCTCCCGTAGTGATCACCTCAAAATCCACATGAAAACCCACGCCTCCAACAAACCCTACAAGTGCCCTGTGTGCCGTCGAGGATTCCTCTCTTCCAGCTCCCTCCATGGCCACATGCAAGTACATGAAAGGGGGAAAGATGGTGGCAGTTCAGGCTTCAATAGAGCTGACGAATGGAAACTAAAAGAAACTCGAAAGTGCAGTCGGTGTGAGGAAGGGTTTGATGTCCCTGAAGAGCTACAGCGACATATCGCAGAGTGTCACCCTGAATGTTCTCCATCTGAAGACGGAGGACTTGGGGCTACCTTACAGTGCATTTACTGTCACGAGCCTTTTAGTGATGAGAGTGCCCTGCTAACCCATATTGACCAGGCCCACAGCAGAGATAGGAAGGGCCACACCTGTACCATCTGCTCAGAGCATTTTTTGTCTGTTGAGGACCTCTATGCTCATATGGACATCCATCAGCTCCCTGAATCCAGTAATCATAGCAACAGTCCTTCCTTACTTACTGTGGGCTATACGTCTGTCTCCAGCACCACTCCTGACTCCAACCTTTCTGTTGACAGCTCCACGATGGTGGAGACAGCACCACCTGTGGCAAAGACCAGAGGAAGGAGGAAAAGAGCTTCTCAGAACACATCTGACTTGGGAGGGAGGTCTTCAAAACAGCCTAAGATTTCCTACAGTTGCATTTACTGCAACAAACAAGTGTTTTCTAGCCTAGCTGTTCTTCAAATACACTTACGAACCATGCATCTCGACAAGCCAGAGCAGGCTCATACTTGCCAGTTTTGTTTGGAGGTTCTTCCGTCACTGTTAAACTTAAACGAGCATCTTAAACAGATTCACAATGCAGAAGACCATGCTGCCCTGTTAGCCAGCCTGCCAGATGCCCTCCTTCAGTGTAACTTTTGCCCTGAGGTGTTAAGTGACCTTAATGCCCTCCAAGAGCACATCCGCTGCTCCCATGGTTTTCCCAGTCCAGTTGCCAAGGAGAGCAATGCCTTCTTTTGCCCCCAATGCTTTATGGGGTTTTTGACTGAAGCTACATTAGAGGAACATGTTCGTCAGACACACTGTGATGGAGGAAGCCTGCGGTTTGACTCACCTTTGGCTGTTACTCCCAAGGAGCCTATAGTAGAGGTTTACTCCTGTTCATATTGCACCAACTCTCCCATTTTCAACAGTGTTTTAAAACTCAACAAGCACATAAAAGAGAACCACAAGAACATACCTCTGGCTCTGAACTACATCAACAATGGAAAGAAATCTTTACGCACTCTCAGCCCCTCTTCTCCAATATCTGTGGAACAAACTGCCATGCTAAAACAAGGGGGATCTGCCTCACGTAATACAAGTGAGTTTATATGTAACCAATGTGGTGCCAAGTATACAAGTTTAGATCTTTTCCAGACTCACCTCAAAACTCATTTGGATGGCTTACAGCCTCAGCTGACTTGTCCCCAGTGCAACAAAGAATTCCCCAACCAAGAATCCTTACTCAAGCATGTGACAATTCACTTTACGATTACCTCCACTTACTATATATGTGAAAGCTGTGACAAGCAGTTCACTTCAGTGGATGACCTGCAAAAGCACCTTCTCGACATGCATACTTTTGTGTTTTTTCGTTGCACTCTGTGCCAAGAGGTCTTTGACTCAAAGGTGTCAACACAACTTCACCTGGCTGTAAAGCATAGCAATGAGAAGAAGGTATATCGTTGCACATCCTGCAACTGGGACTTCCGACACGAAACTGACCTACAACTGCATGTCAAACACAGCCATCTGGAAAACCAAGGTCGTGCCCACAGATGCATTTTTTGTGGTGAGTCCTTTGGTACAGAGGTAGAGCTGCAATGCCACATTACCACCCACAGTAAGAAGTACAACTGCCGTTTCTGCAGTAAGGCCTTTCATGCCATTGTCCTTCTGGAGAAGCATTTAAGGGAGAAACACTGTGTGTTTGAAGGAAAGACCCAAAATTGTGGCACTAATGGCTCTACTGTAAGTGGTGGGGAAGGTCAGCCTAAGGAAGATGAAATCCAAAGTCTCTTAACTAACAGCCATGGTCCAGGAACAGGAGTATCTGTGATGGAGTCCCAAAACAGCCATGATGGAAGTGAGGAAGAGGTGGACACTGCAGAACCCATGTATGGATGTGAAATATGTGGGGCATCTTACACCATGGAGTCGCTCCTCACTAACCACCAGTTAAGAGATCACAATATCCGCCCCGGCGAAAGTGCAATGATCAAAAGAAAAGCTGAAATGATCAAGGGGAATCACAAGTGCAATGTCTGTTCCCGTACCTTCTTCTCTGAGGCTGGGCTGAGGGAACATATGCAGACTCACCTTGGGCCTGTAAAGCACTACATGTGTCCCATTTGTGGCGAACGCTTCCCTTCCTTGCTTACCCTAACAGAGCACAAGGTAACCCATAGCAAGAGTCTGGACACAGGCAGCTGCCGCATTTGTAAGATGCCACTGCAGAGTGAGGAAGACTTCCTTGAGCACTGCCAGATGCACCCTGATCTTAGGAACTCTCTGACAGGTTTCCGCTGTGTGGTATGCATGCAGACAGTGACCTCCACATTGGAGCTTAAGATCCATGGTACCTTTCACATGCAGAAAACAGGCACTATGTCCTCCAACCAGCCTATGGGTCGCAACAATCCCATCGCTCAAAGCCAACAGCCACACCATGCTCAAAAGCTTTTTAAGTGTGCCTCGTGCCTAAAAGATTTCCGGTCCAAATTAGACCTAGTGAAGCTTGACATCAATGGGCTTCCATATGGTCTCTGTGCATCGTGTGTGACAGCCGCTGGCTCAAAAAGCTCTAGCCCAACAGTGAACGGAGGAAGGCAACAGCAGGGTGGGGCCACAACCCCTGCTACATCTACTGCTATGTGGGCACCAGGGGAAAGTTTGAGCCCAGGAGAAGGAAAAGGCAAGGGTGTTTCTTCATCATCCTCATCCTCTTCTACATCCTCTTCATCTGCCATCAAGACTCGTTGTTCAAGCTGCAATGTGAAGTTTGAGACTGAGGCAGAGTTGCAAAACCATGTCCAGACGGTCCATCGAGAACAAGCTGGGGATAGCAACAGCGCACAGCTGAAAACCCCCCAGGTGTCACCAATGCCGAGAGCTAGTCCCTCACAGACTGAGGAGGTATTACTAGCTATTTCTATGTTTAGGTTAATGTAGATAAGATAAAAAAAAATGATTCAAAATAATGTATTACTATCAAAATGTGTCTTTTATTTCTGTTTTCCTATTCATAGAAGAAGACATACCAGTGCATCAAATGTCAGATGGTTTTCTACAGCGAATGGGACATCCAAGTTCATGTGGCCAATCACATGCTGGGTAGGAAAGAAAGCTTTTTTTTTATTTAATGTGTATCCTCTTCCATTTCGGCATCAGCAAGGCTTGTGTAATTTATCAGTTTGTCTATGATTTGATGTACAATCAGTCAATCAATGTGGCCTTGAGGAATGAAATTTAAGTGTTTTCAGGAATGTGACTGGATCCAAAAAAAATATACAAAATCATTAAGGCAATTTTTTCCTGATTTATTTTTAACACTTACAGAAAGATTTTAGAGAGTTTTTAAAGGATGAATTATGCAGTATATTAAACTTTATGATTAAATACTGAAATATTTGACCCTGTCTCATTCAGGCTCACAAGTGGCCGGATCACATCACCAAATAGGTGGAATTATTTTAATATTTTGACCATCAAATGCATCCTCAGTGTTGTGCTTTTATTTTCTTACCAGTGTAATTTTTCCATGCATGTTACTGGTTTTGCATGCTTGTGGTTGGAGAATATCTCCATTCAGAATTATTCTATAAAGCTGAATATCTTTAATATTTTCAGTAGCCAACAAATTCTTCAGGGATTGTTTGAAAATACTTGAAAAGCTTTTAATTTTTTCCAAAATTATTACATAGAATAGAAATCTACATCCCCATACCTTTTTTTGTTGTTAAACCTATCCATTGGATGCATTTTTTACATCAGCACTCCACTTAGATTTATGTTATTTTGATATTATGTGCATTTGACTGCACATAACCAACCTGAAAATAAGACATAGTGTGTTATAACAGAAATTACAAATTTATGCCTTCTCTTTACGCAATTTCTAAGCTGTGAGTGCCAGTGTAAAACCAATCTCCACATTTTCAAAATGTCTTCACTTTTGGTTGCCATTTGTATGCAGGCAGAATAATTTGTAGAGTGGAGACAATTGGAAAACAGGTTTTCTTGCCTGCAGTAAGTAGGCGTCTGAATTCCACTCTCACGTTCCTTTATTCATTCATTTATTCAGCTCGTTTGGCGGCTCTTTCATTACACTGCATTATCTGTTGTCTTCAGTGGGGGAGAGACTCATTGATCTGGAACCAAACCGCCTCTCTGTTTGGGACACGCTTCTAGGCGCAGGTGAATTTAAACACGGTGGGCAATTCTTTCAGGACTGGTAGGCAATTCTATCAGGGGCCCACTGTTTGTGCATAAACAATCAGAGGCATGTGATTTGTGATTTTGATTCTGCGGCGTATTTGCAAAAGAGAGAGACGAGCTAAGGGTGTGTAGGTGTGTGTTTTGTATTCATCTTTGCGATCTGCTCACCCACTAGTCTACTGGGGGTGCCTAATACAGTACCATGCCAGCATTAGTCCTTTCTCTCGCAAAGGCAGTCACAGAGCACACTGGGAGGGTAGAAAACAAACCCCCCTACTGGTTATTTTATGTCTTTCAGCCGCACAAGCACACAGTTCCCTCATAATAGTGGAATTCAGAGAGCTTAAGATAACAGGAGGATAGGTGATTGGGTTATTGTCTGATGTCTTACTTCTATGATATGCAATTGCTTAGTATTCAGCATGATGACAGGTTTCATTTGACTTCTCAAAAGGTTTCTCTTAGACCCATTTAGTTCATGATGTATAAAATATTGAAAAAGAAAAGTTATTCAGATTTACAAAAAGAGAATGTGAAAAGGAAAAAAGACATGTTTAACTGTTATCGTAATAAATAATAAGATGACATGATAGATGAGTTGCAATATTTTGCAAAGTGTTTATAACTTTTGAATTTGAACTTTTTACATTTTGTGACAAAAAAATTATAAAACATTGATCTCTTTAAGTAGAATGTAAAATGATACAAAATCACTAATTAGTGCAAAGAGTAGCTCAAGATTTCAAAATGTGTCATAAATAGAAATCAAAAAAGTTTTGTGCATTTTCTATTCAGTCTCCAGTTGATACTTTGCAGAACCACCTTTTGGTGCAGTTACATCTAAAAGTCATTTGGAATATATCTCCACCTGCATATCTACAGACTGTTTTTTCCCCTCCTGCTGTCCTTGCAAAATCGATCCATTTCATTCAAAATGGGCACAGAGTGTCTGTAAACATCAGTTTTCAAACACTTTCACTGATATCAATTTGGAATTGGGCTGGATTATAGTTGGGCATTGTAACCTTGATTATACTTCCATCAAAACACTAATTTTAGCTCTGGTTGTATATAATTGCTGTGCCAAAAAATAGGATTGCCTGTTTTCTGACTGGTTTTTATTTTCCCTGCTTAATAAAAGCACCCCAACAGCAGGATACTGTTACCATCACATGTCACCTTAGGGTTTGCATCTTCAAGTTTATGCTCAATGTTTCCCTCCACCAATTCTGGTCACATTTGATAAGAACAACATGATCCACATTGACACCTTCGAAGTAGCCACTACATGCCTGCATGCTGGGAATCCTATGACTTCCAAACAAATTTGGCTCTCTTCTTGCCACTCAGTTATGATGTTATGATATTGGGAAGGGGGCAACTAATAGTTGCTTCTTGGCTGCTTCTCTTAATAAATCCATTCTAGGCTGTTAGTTAAGTCTGAAGGTCATATTTTTACACTTTGCATCTTATGCTTTCAGTTTTCAGATAATGGATTAACCATAATCTAAGTTGGCTCCAAACTCCTCTAAACCGTTATCCATGACCTGCCCAATGTGTTCCTTGGTCATTGTGACATGAAATCTGAAATCTTCGGAAATCTTTACAGAATTGTTCTATTTTCATTCAGGTGGACCTTATTAGCTTTAAGGCGGTTTATGCTTGAAGCATTTGCGAGGTCCATATGCCTAAATTATTATTTTTGGCTTCCATGCCCCTCTGACGGCATCGGTGCAGACAGAATTTCCGCACCACACCAAATTTTTAACAGTGCAGACAGATCAGTGCAAAAAACACGGTTAACGAGCAACAGATTCTACCAGTGATGCTTTGCAAATGTAGACATCTAGAAACCTCCTATATTTAACCCGTAAATATCACCACTCTTAGCAGATTGTTAAAAATCTCTTGCAAAGAAATGACATTTGCTCTTGGACAGCATGAAGAGACTATGAAAACGTTGCAAATGGCTGTGTTTTCTACTTCCTAGTGTACCAAGAAACTGACCAGAATGCCGGGAAAACCTCAAAAAAGTATAAACCCTTCAGATGTGTGGCTCATTTTCCACACAAGCATAACCCAACCTTAAGTAAATTGGTTGAAACTGAATACAAATGGATCCAGACAAATAAAAAAAGAAATCTAAATAAGTATTTTTTTCTTAAAATAAGTGCATTTGTTCTTTATTTGAGGAGATAAGTGAGACACTTTGCAAATTGAACAAGACAATATACATTTAAATAAGAAAAAAACAATTAAATTGTCTTATATCAAGTGCATACTATCTAATTATATTATTTTAAGAGTAGTAAACTCATTCCATGGGCAAATCAACTTACTTACCTACTCAAATTAGGGCAAAATACATTTATTTCACGTAATGTTCACTTATTTTTAAATTGTTTTGACAGTGTATTAAGTTTGTGTTACATTTAAATTTGGAACGAACGTTAAATGGGAGGGAATACTGTTTGTATTAGTGTTTTTTTAAGTGCTGAATATAATTCAGTCTTTATTCTGTTATCACTGCAAAGTTAATGCAGTTCTAAAAAAAATAAAAAACGTCATTTGGAAAAAGCTCTAAATACCTTCTCTACAGAAAAAAGGGACACTCTCTCCTTTTAATGGCCATCTGCACAGGAGAGGGGAAACAGGGGGCGGGGGTCATCTCCGCTCAGCTGTCAGCGTTATTAGCGTAGGTAATGGAGCAGACGCTGGATTCATAGGGGTGTTGTTTTCGTCCATGCACCGCTCCATGGTATCAGTTCACACTGATAACTCTATATATAGTGATGTGTCGTGACATAACTATACTACTAAGTGTATGGAACAACAGAAGCCAAGCCTGTCTCACTCAGACACATTCTTATTAGCTGCCTGTGTAATACAATAGTGTCTCCGAAGCAAATGTAATGAGTCCCACCTTCACCCCCTCCCATTAGGGCGAAGTGGTTGTAGCTGCCTCTTCTGTAAGACTGCCAGAGCATTTTGATGCATGGATATTACAGCTGGAAGATGAGGGTCCTGGTTCAGGCATAAAGGGTGGATCTAGAGCTCAGCTACTCAACATTTACTATTTTAATGGAGGTAAATGAAAGGGAAGGGGGAGGCCACGGTTGAAAAGTGGGTGTGCTGACGACCAGCCCAAGCCAAGGCTGTGAATGGCCCCATGTGTCTTAAGATGGAGGCTGCAGCATACCAGGGCCCAGATGGATCAGTACACATTTGCTGTACAGCTGGTCGCTCTGTTTGGGGACCTGGTGTGATACTCCTATGGAGAAAAAAATGATATCGCCACCATCCAAGGAGCAATTTAATAGCAGGCCAGAAGACAGCTGGCCACTCTTTACTTTAGAGTTTTTTTGGCATGGCACACTTACAGAATTGAGGGTGTCCGATTTTTCTCCAGAGACACACAGATTTTTACAGCTTTCAGCTGTTGCAGTCAGTATCAATCCTCTCAATTTTTTTCCCCCTTCCAATAACAAGATTTATCTTTTCATCAATAAACTTCCGTACTTTGATATCTGATACATAGCAGATTTTTAAAACTATTGTAGTTTCACAAAGTTACCCTTTTAATATTATTTTGTTTCTTAAGAGGACTTTTGAAGGTCTTTCACTGACAGAAAAGCCTGTTTGGTTTTATCAGCATGCCATCATGACACCCCATTGCTTCACTTTGACCCTAGTGTAAACTATGACATTTGGAGCCTCATGGGGGGCAAGTTTGGCCCATTTATCGCTCTGTTTCAAATGTCCCTGTGTGGATTTTCAGAGCCATAATACAGCTTGAGCTCAGTCTTAAAGCGTTTTAAAGGTGAGAGGGCATTTGGATCTTTGTTTTTTTATTTTTTTGCTCTCATCTCACTCCTACCCACTCTTAGGAGCACGAA